CTCAACACAACTGAGCATTTCACTTGTTAAAGACTAAACTTCAGACAGAAAGGCCCACAAACAAACAGCCACAGTGAAGTCCTGGCAGAGCATTAAAAAGAATGAAACACAGCGTCTGGTGACATCCATGAGTTCAAGACTTCAGTCAGTCATTGCCAATGAAGGGTTTTCAACCAAGTACTAGAAATGAACATTTTATTTACMATTATTTMATYTGTYYAATTACTTTTGAGCCTCTGAAATGAAGGGATCGTGATTAAAAGATGCTTTAGTTCCTCACATTTCTATGAATCATTTTGTTCAACTCACTGAATTAAAGCTTAGAGTCTGAACTTCAACTGCATCTGAAAGGTTTTGTTTAAAATTCATTGCGGTAATGTCTAGAACCAAAACTAGGAAAATGTCCCTGTCCAAATAAATTTGGACCCAACTGTAACTCTGGGTCTTTTGTCCACTCATCATGATCTGTGTGGAGAGTTCCTTGGTCTTCCTGCTGCCTGTGCTTCTGGGCTCAGAACAGGTGAATAAAGCTCATCTGACTCTTGTAATGCTCACAGGTAGATCTTAGTGAACTGATGGTGTGTTGAAGGAACAGTTGGGCCTTCATTTGCACACACCTCTTTTTACTTCCATTTCTTTAGAATCATTTTAAAAAGCAGGATTTTTCCCATGTAGCATCTTAAATTTAGAATATTTTGCCTACTTCCAGTCAGACTGAAAACACCAGATGAAGTGAACATTTGTGTGGCAGATTGTGAGCAGGGTAATAACTCCTGGTGGGTTGAATATTAAAAACATTAAACTGGTTGTGAGTACCTTCCAGTTTATCCATCCTTTGTCCTTTTCATCCAGGCTCTGTTGCAGCTGTCCTCCCATGCTTGTCAGATAAAACTGAAGAATTGAGAGCAGAGAAGAAGACGTTCCAGCTGTTCTGTTTTACACCAAATAAAAAGACAGCTATTTTTTTCCCCTCAATACTTGTCATAGAGTGTATGTAAACATCTGGTTTCAGCCATGGATGTATGAAGCACCACTGACCTGGACGGGATGGGAGGCCCGTCTGTTCTCAGCGTAGCACCTCTGAATCTGTTTGTGAAGCTTCCGCACATCCTGAAGAGGCGACAAGGTGATGAGTAGGGAGGTGTTCAGGAGCATTAAACAGCATAAAATAATATCTTAAGCAGCAATCAATATGGATTTAGAGCCAATAACTCTACTTCAATGGCTCTTATGGAACTTACAGAACATATAACAAATGCTATTGATCAAAAACAATATTGCGCCAGTATTTATGTTGATTTGAAGAAAGCCTTTGAAACAACTGAACACAGCAGTCTACTTGAAAAACTAAACAAATATGAGATTAGAGGACCAGCATTACAATGGATATGTAGTTATTTGGAAAATAGGAAACAGTTTGTACAAGTACACGATGTCAGAACTGAACTATGTGGAATCACATGTGGAGTTCCTCAGGGTTCTATACTTGGACCAAAGTTGTTTTATCTTGTATGTGAATGACTTGGTTAATGTGTCAGAGCTCTTTAAATGYGTTTCATTTGCCGATGATACCACATTTTTTTGTTGGAGTAAAGACATAGAACGGTTGTTAGAGAAAATAGAAACAGAATTTATGAAAATACAAAACTGGTTTAAATGTAACAAATTATCACTCAATTTGGATAAAACTAATTATATGATATTTACAATGAACAAAAAAATGTTAATATTTAGAGTTGATGGTGTAGAGATAAATAGAGTCAGTGAGGTGAAGGTTTTGGGTAGGCCTGTCGCGATAGTCAATAAATCAATTAATTGCACGATAAC